ATCCTTTTCTTTCTTTCTGAATCCAATGAAACTAATCTCCACCCAACACATCCCACTTATTGGTCAATTCTAATTAACTTCCCTAACCACCCCTTAATTATCATTAACGCGACTCTACCTTTTCCTTACATCTATTATATTCCTCATTCGGCGTAAAATATGAAGATACAGTTTGGCTAATAATGTACTACATTACTATTTTTTTTTAATAATTTGTACTACATTACTATTGAGGTGGTAACAACCAGTCAAAATCAAATAAAAAAATCAAATTTCACTATAATTTTAGTTGTAAAAATTGAGGAGGAGTTACTTGTAGTTCAAAGGGCTATAATTCTCTTAATGTATATATAGTATGTGGTTACATTATGTGTATGCATGCGAAAAAAAGAAGAAAAACGGTAATTTAACGTCAAACTATAAGCTCCAGTGGTGGAGTTGAGGCAGAAATTTGAATGAGAAGCTGATTTGAACGATGGTAATAGGGGAGGGGGTTTAAAGTCTTACCAACTACTCTATTTTTTTAATTTTATTACAAATTTTGCGTGTAATTTTATCTATATTCCAAAGTTGAGAGGGGAGGGCTATAGACCCTTCTAACTTCAACCTAGCTCCACCATCGATAAGCTCCTTTGCCAAAACCTGCAGGTTGCTGGATCCTAGGGGTGAAAGCTTGTCCCTGAAGACCCACTGACCCGTCCCGACCCGTCCCGTCCCTAAGGGTCGGGACGGGTCAGTTTGTCTACAGGGACAGATTAGGGACGGGTCATTTGTTGACCCTGTCAGGGCCGGGACGGGTCGGGACAACTTAGGGACGGGTCACGCTTTGACCCTGTGACCCTTAGCAACAACAAATATCTCATACTTCATTGGACCTTTTTGTAAAGTTTTAAAAGTTTGGGTACTAATTTGTAAAAATAAAAAAATTTGGGTACCAAAATGTAATTTTACCATCAAAATTTATGGACTTATTTGTAAAAAAAATAAATTTTAGGTACTAAATTGTAAGAAAAAATAATTTTGGGTACCAAAACGTAATTTGTAAAAAAGTAGTGTGTTGATTAGGGTCGACCCACTGACCCGGCCCGTCCCGTCCCGTCCCAACCCTTGAGGGTCAGACAGGGTCAAGAAGGAGACAGGGACGGGACGGGACGGGACGGTTATACATCTTGACCCTTCAGGGACGGGTCAGACAGGGACAGGGACGGGACAGGGACGGGATAGGCAAATTTTCAGCCCTACTGGATCCTCATCCAAACTCGAAATTCCATTTCACCATCACAATAAGTATAGACTAATTTAAAACATACTACACTGAGTTGCACAGTTCAATCGGTATCAAAGTCAGGTCTTAGAGTGCAGCAACATAATGAAATTGAAATCTGGTCTTTGATCAGTCTGGCTCATAACACTATCTCATCACTTTTCAATGTATGATTAGCATATGGTTACACCATTACAGAATATATTATTGGGTTATAGGTATAATATGCCCCTTTATTATGACATTTTATCAAACATGCCTTTTTACTATTTTTTACATCAAACATGCCCCTATAATTTTGAATAACTATCAAACATGCCCTTCAGTTGACATTTCCATTGGAAGAACCGTCAATAATGATTGAGCCGATATTCAGACGACCTGACATCGACAAATGGGAAGGGAAATGTCAGTTTTGACCCTTGTTTTATTTCTCTGGGTCTCGTCAAAGTGAAATTTTTAGAATTATTTGGCTATACAAAAGAACCAAAAAAACTCTAAAGTGAAATTATTAGGGATATTTTAGATATTTGGGTCGCCCAAACCAAAGTTCGGTCTTGGTTAACGGTTTTTGGATGAAAAATTTAACAAAAGGGCATGTTTGGTAATTTTTCCAAAGTACAGGGGCATGTTTGATGTAAAAAATAGTAAAGAGACATGTTTGATAAAACGTCATAGTAGAGAGGTATATTATACCTATAATCCTATATAAAAAAAAAAATTTCAAATATACCACCATTGAGTTGCACTACTACTATGAATGCTGAAGTCAGGATTTAGTGTAGTACCCTCTTGAATAGCGCAACTCGAAGTCTTCTGATAAAGAGACTGATAGCCTACCATCATTTAAGTTTGCAATATCTAATTAGTAATTAACTAATTACCATATAATCACATAACCCGAAATCGAACTACTACAATTTTTCTTTATTTTTAAACCCGTTCTAGTAGGCTTCACCATTGACCATGCTGAATTGGGAGTTAGTTAGTTGGTGAGGTAATTGACTTTGTAACGCGTACAAGAAACGGTAAAAAAAAACAAAGCTTGTAAGGAAGGAGGAAGCTGCAAAAGAGTGGAACACCAAAATTGGATTCAACGGGTTAAAGAAGGAACGAACAGCCGGGATGCATGTAAATTGTAACGTAAAATAGTTTTTCTGTTTGTCCTTCCTTGATCGGACGGTCGATATTCCATCGGACGTTGACGTGGGATTTGGTTCCACATGTGCAGCCAACATAAGGCCCGGCGGAAAAATAATTATTATTTTATAGAATAAACATAAAAAAAAACAAAAATGAAAAACAAATTGCTTCTCCTGATAAATATAAAGTGATAATAAATAATCAACCCTTTCACACCCACGCGCCGCTGTTGTGTAGGTCCTCTCCACGTACGAATAAAACAACGGGACAGTGCTTCTCGTACTTTATCTGCTCCACCTCAGCCAACCCCAGCCTTTTCAACCCAGCCCCCTAATCACGCGCCGCCGTAAGCGCGTGGACTGTTTTCCTCCTTCCCTCACGCGTGACCATCTCGTACAAGCATCCTTCTCTCTCTCTTTCTCGCCCAAAACTAACAACAACAAAAGCGAAGGAGAGCTAATCCCTGGCCTCTCTCTCTCTGCATCTTTGGATTCTCGTCCTCGCAGAGAGAAATTCTTCTCCCTGCTGCTTCCTTTCTTCGTACTCGGGCCGTGGCCGGCCCCTCATTCGGAAACCCTAGATGCTTCTGCTGCTGCATCTTCTTCCGTTATCCACTCCTCGCTGCTGCCGGTAAGTTCTCTTTCTTCCCTTCCTTGTTTCCTGCGCTTCGTCTTTTTGGAATTTCGTGTCCTCGAGTTCGCCGGAAGGCCTTTTCTACGTAGCTCAGATCCGTTACTATTTCCTTGTGGTATTCCTGCTTTCGGCATCGGACTCGGTTCCCGTTTCCATGACGCGCTCTGGTTTTGACGCTCCCTCCGTCACCGTGGTAGTGCGAAATTCGAGAGTTGTTTTTTTAAGCGGGTTTCGGCATTAGCGGATTCGCTTTTTGTTTCTATGTTTGACGTTTTTTCGGGGGAATAATTGTGGTTTCCACGTTGAATTCACGCAATGTATGTAGAATGCCCGGTGGAGCTCTGTTGCATTGTTTACGGGACCTGTTTGGATGACGATGGAGCGGTTTTTCCTTTTTTACTCCCGGAGTGTGTTTCTCGAATTTCAGAAGGGAGCTGTAAAATGGTGAGTGGAGGAAAGGGTTTATGATACTGATCTTCTCCTTCGAGGTTCCCTTTGATTTCCAATTGGAGGTTGTTTACTCCAATCTTTGTTCTAGTTCGCTAGGCCTTTTCTCTTTTTCTTTCTCGAGAAGTTTCGATTCCAGCTGCCTTACTGCTGGCGTGAGTATGGGCTGGGACGATTTTGTTGGTGGAGTATGTGCGGTTTCATTGCTTATTTTGTCTTTTACCAGTATCCGCATTCGGCATTCAATCTACAGCGCATTCTTTGTTTTTTCGATGATTGAAGGCGGCAAATTGAGGACTCTTCGTCCCCGCTTCTATAGATTATGTCTGTGATGAACTCACTCTAATTAGTTCTTCTGTTCTTTTTAGCTCTCCTTTTTGTCTTTTGCCCCTTCATGGGTAGACAAAAGCTGGTTGGGTTCCGTGAAATTTGATTGTGGCGCAGAGGGTCTGGTGGGGGGTTATATATTGACATCGTAGTTTCTTTTGTTCACAGGCAGTGCTGCAAAAGCTCTTGAGCCGGCCTGTTGGAATGGACTTAGATGATAAATTTCGTGAGAAAGGTATGACCTTTTCCCCTGTCATCTCAATTCAAGGTTGGCTTGTATTGGTAGCTACAAATAAGCAAGATTGAATTGAATGAAATGGGTAGTGTGGTGGTCATGCAGTAACTCCATTGATGTACATGCTATGGTTACTGATCTGAAGTGTCGGTCCATCAATGTCAATGTCAAGATCAAATGAGGGACCTGGGTCCATTCTTTGACTTTCCTGTTAATTTGTGTCTTTACACTGGACCAACATGTTTGATTATTTCTTTTGCACCACGATAAATTTACATTTACTCAAAACATATCCAGTGGAACAGAAGGCTAAGTTGATGGAATTGTGATGATGAAGACTCTTATGTACCCGTATTATCGGTTTCCTGTTCTGTTCTTGCTGACGTGTCCATCGTTTATGAGTTTGAATATGCGGTAAGAGGAAATGTTTAGAAGTCTATCTTATCTAGAAATCAGATGAGAAAGAATGATTATGTGGAAGCTGACCAGTTAGATCTATGCTTTTATGTTAGATGCTCAAATTGTATCGGAATATCATTTCCTGTCTGAATTACCAAAGGATTATGCTTCCTCTCTGACTCATGTCTTGGTTTCTTCGTCTGCATGGTTTGTTGTTTTACTTTCTTATTGCCTTTAGTTCATTGCTTGGTTGGAGAATCTTACAAACTTAATAATTTCAGATGAGCTCTCTGCATTATTAATGGGACAAGTTTTCCAGCGAATTTAAGTACTCTCAATTTCTAAAGTTGGTGCGTTGTCTCTCCAGTTTCTGGTGTTCAAAGCCTTTCTTCCAGTGTCCAAAGCACCCCAGAGAAAAATGTTAACTCCGATGATGCTTTAAGAAGTCCAGAACTAATTCAAGAGTTCCTGAAATCTTCTGGTCCCAAAAAGGAACTTCTTCGTACTTGCTTTGATAAGGACAAGAAGCTATCACCATCGTTTAAAGGCAAAATGACAGAACTGAAGTCGTTGGGTAGCAAAACAATAAAGAAGTTGGAATCCAAGAAAACGTCTCCTACCACCAATAATCAACCTTCAAAGAAGCAGAAGAGGAAGGGAGAAAACCCCATTCGAATAATACCTGCACCAGACCAGTCTCCCAATTTTGTGAGTTCAAACTCTTGGATATGTAAAAATGCTGCCTGCAGAGCTGTCTTATCCATTGATGACTCATTCTGCAAGAGGTGTTCTTGCTGCATCTGTCATTCCTTTGATGAGAATAAAGACCCTAGTCTGTGGTTGTTCTGCTCATCTGAAGCAGCTAATGAGGATTCTTGTGGGCTCTCATGTCACATTGAGTGCGCCTTTCAGCATGAAAAGGTTGGTGTTGTTGATCACGGACAACTCATGCAGCTAGACGGCAGTTATTGCTGCGCTTCTTGTGGTAAAGTATCAGGGATTATCGAGTAAGTAGTCCATTTGCAGCCCCCCACCCCCCGCCCTCTTAGATTTTGATTGTTCTTCATCTACTATTCCTGCTGATTCTTAAATTGCTCCAGTGGTTCCTTATTGAGATGCTACATTGCAACAGAAAAAGAAAATAGCCAACTAGAACAATGGTTTTTTGTGTCACTGTGCGCATTTGGTGGTACAGCAATAGTTTTCGGCTGACATGTTCCATTTTCTACTGGCAGATCCTGGAAGAAACAGCTCACTATTGCAAAAGATGCCCGTCGTGTTGATCTGCTGTGCTATAGGATATACCTATGTTATAGACTTCTTGATGGAACTTCAAGATTCAAAGAGTTGCATGAACCCATAAAAGAAGCCAAAGCCAAACTAGAAACCGAGGTTGGTCCGTTAGATGGCGTTTCTGCAAAGATGGCACGAGGCATCGTCAGCAGACTCCCCATTGCTGCTGATGTGCATAAACTATGCACTCTTGCAACTGAAAGAGCAGACGAATGGCTGGGTTCAGCTTCTAATGTCAATTCTAGCTGCAGAGGTTTGATTCCTCTAGTTGATCTTGTGGTTCCATGTCGAAAAAGCCCTCTATATTTGGCAGAAGGATTAATCAATTCGTGTTTTTCCATCTCAGCAGAGGGCTCACTGCCCGCTGCCTGCAGGTTTTTCTTCGAAGAAGTGACAGCATCATCCGTCATAATTATCCTGATCGAAATGTCTGCATCATCATCCGACGATATAAAGGGCTACAAACTCTGGTATACCAAGAGCAGAGAAGAGACTCCTCCAAAGGAACCTATTTCCGTGTTCCCCAAGACTCAGAGGAGGATTCTGATATCAAATCTGCAGCCCTGCACAGAGTACACCTTCCGAATCGTGTCATACACAGAATCTGGCGACTTGGGTCACTCAGAAGCCAAGTGTTTCACCAAGAGCGTAGAGATTTTCCGCAAGCTTCCCAGCTCTTCTTCAGCTGCAGCAAATGGTGGTACGAAAGACGACAACACCAACAACGAAGGAGGAAGCACCTCCAAAGCCACTACAGAAGGCAGCAGTGACCTCTCCGGATTCAGGGTTCGAGAACTCGGGAAGATCATCCGCATGGCGTGGGCTCAGGAGCGAGCCTGCTCCGATGGCTATTGCTGTGATGCTGCCGATTCGGCAAAACCAGAGTCCACTCAGGATCACGAGCTGCCCGCTTCTTCCTCACGGCAACTCGATCTCAACGTCATGTCCGTTCCCGACTTGAACGAAGAGCTCACCCCTCCCTTCGAGTCGTCCAGAGACGAGGATAACGACTGCACTCTGGAGGAGCACGCCGTGGAGGCAGCAGACGACGATGCTGCTTCTCACGACAACATAAAGAAGGGCAGTTTAGCTAGATCGAATGGCAGCGGCGACTCAGCCCCCGCTGTTGATTCCCGGGGAGATAATAGGAAAAGGCCAGCCCCGTCGCAGCAGCATCAAAGGGCCAACGAGGAGGTCCATGACTGCGACAGCACTCTCATCAACGGCTCGCCATTTCGCCCGTCCAGGGGCTCCGGTTCGTTGGACGAGAACTTCGAGTCGTGTGTGAAAATAATCCGGTGGCTCGAATGTGGTGGGCATATTGATCAGGAGTTCCGCCTGAAGTTGCTCACTTGGTTTAGCTTGAGGTCCACGGAACAGGAACGGAGGGTTGTTCATACTTTCATCCGGACTATGATCGACGACCCGAGTAGCCTAGCAGAACAACTGATCGACTCGTTCTCAGATATCGTATCGAACAAGAGGCCGCGGAATGGCTTCTGCAGTAAGTTATGGCATTGAGGAAAGAACTTTGTAGGAACCGGTGAAGGGAGAAAGGGGAAATTTCTTTGTTCCCGCTTTCCTCCTTCCTTTTGCAGTGCGGTTCGGTTTCTTGGGTTTACTCAGCCCGTATTCATACAGCGGGGTAAACTCAAAAGTCTAATCGGGCATTTGAATTGTTCTCAGGGCATAAAATTACTGTAGCTGTAGACTGTAGAGTACTTACTGAAGGATAATCATCTAAATTCTGAATCTCCAATGTGTAATGGATAAATCGTCATTATTTTTTAACCTTTCTTCCATTCAAAGAAGGGGAAATCGAATTGATGGCAGATTCTTAGTCCTCTGTTTTTTAGAGTTCTTTTTTGTCATGCGATTTTCGTTATATTTTTCATGAAATCTCGATCGAGAAGGTAGAAAAGGATGCTTACTTGAATTTCGATTTAACTCACTGTGTGTATATGATTTTAACCTCCAATTAATGATTCATTCAATCATTCTTGTTTAGATCATTGTAAAATAACAGTGAACATATGTTAAGTATTATTACATCATCAATTATTCTACGTACTAATAAACTTTTTGTACTTTTTTTAGAAGGAAATAACAGGATTGCGGGAAACAATGGCATAATGACCTGGAGCGGAAGAGGTGGGGCCCGCTACTCTATTTCTTTTCTAAATGATCTTTTCGGCTTTTTCCCCCCAATCGAGTGCCAACAAGGCGAGTCTCTATTATTTGTCAACTGAATTTGCCAAGTCAGCAACCTCAGAGGCCCACCACATCCCCGTGCAGCCGCAAAGAGCGGGGAGCCAAACGGCCCCGACGACGCCGTTTCAAGCAGCACTGACACTCGGTTCAAATGATATATAAGGCTGCAGCGAGAAAATCTGAGGCTCAGAAAGGCCCGTTGCTTCTCTCCCGCCACACTCTCCCAAGAAAGCAAGAATGGAGATTCTCTCAGCTCCATCGTCCCGCTTTCTCCCCTTCGAAAACTCGAAGCTGCAATCAAAGCAGCCAGGTTAGATTCCAACTCTTCGCTCGTTGAAATTCCTTTCCGCCATTGATGAATCCATCTCCTCTCCATTACGCTGCTCTGTTAGCTCCCGTTCTTCTCTCGTTTTCTTGAGCTCGAAATTCCGGTACTCGGCGTTTCAGGAATCGCCCCGCCTGAGAAGTGGCTCCAGTTCCTATCGGCGACGAGTTCGTCCTCTTCGCTACTTACTCCTCTGAGAAGTAGCAGTAGTTCTTCGAAGCCGTCCTTCTGCTTCACTACGAGAGCTGCTTCCGCCACTGAAGGTAATTTTTAAGTTCGGTATAAGCTCTGGATGTGCGATTTCGTTTTTCCTGTGTTTAATGGCGGAATTCTTGGTGGAAAAACGTCCAGTTGCCGCTTCTGAATCGTCGGCCGAATTGAGCTCATCCGCAGAGAGCGACGTGCTGAATGCCCTGTCTCAGATCATCGATCCTGATTTCGGAAAGGACATTGTGAGTTGTGGATTTGTCAAAGATCTAGAGATCGATGAAGGTCAAGGAAAGGTAGTAGCTAATTTCTCGTCGAAGAGGATAAGTAAACACTCGGAATTTTGTTGAATTGTTCGTCGTTTTCTTTGCCGCTAGGTTTCGTTTAGGTTGGAGCTTACTACGCCGGCTTGTCCAATCAAGGACTTGGTTAGTTCCTTCACCTTGTTGTGATTAGTTGTTCGTTCGATATGGCATTTGATTGGTGTTAATTTGGTTGAGATCCTACTTGTGCGTATTTCAGTTTGAGCAGCAGGCCAATGAGGTGGTCGCTGGGCTGCCATGGGTGAAGAATGTTAGTGTGACAATGTCAGCACAGCCAGCTAAACCTATGTACGCGGGAGTACTTCCTCCTGGTTTGCAGACCGTTTCGAATATCGTTGCAGTTTCAAGTTGCAAGGTTAGATTACCATGCGCTTGTATCTTCTTGATTTGACGAATGATTGTGCTCACTGTGGTTGTTTGTTAGTCTTGTTATCGGCTTCGTGTTCATTGGTTTTACATACCGAAAAGTTGTGCAGGGAGGGGTGGGGAAATCAACTGTTGCTGTGAATCTTGCATATACTCTGGCTGGTATGGGTGCTAGAGTTGGGATATTTGATGCTGATGTGTATGGTCCTAGTTTACCAACAATGGTCTCTCCTGAGAACCGGTTGCTGATGATGGTAAACATGTCTAGACCTCTAGTATACTAAAACCAGTTCAGTTAGTTGAAATGAAAATGGTGGATTCGGACTGAACTGAATTCTTGTTACCAGAACCCAGAGAATAGAAGTATTATACCTACTGAATACATGGGAGTGAAGTTGGTTTCGTACGGGTTTGCTGGACAAGGTCGCGCAATAATGAGGGGTCCAATGGTGTCAGGAGTTATCAACCAGCTTCTCACGACTACTGAGTGGTGAGTTTATAGAGTGAATTAACACGTTTACACCATCCGAACTAGAAACTATGGCCTTGTGTGCATAATCTGTATATCCTAGCAGAATACCATAACCTCCGTTTTCACAATTTATCTGGATTCTTGAATACAGGGGAGAGCTGGATTACCTTATCATTGACATGCCTCCTGGGACTGGCGATATACAGATTACTTTATGCCAGGTTGTCCCACTGACTGCTGCTGTTATCGTGACCACCCCTCAGAAGCTTTCATTCATCGATGTTGCAAAGGGTGTTCGGATGTTTTCAAAGCTTAAGGTATGTGCCCCGCCATTCTTACCATGATTCCAACAACGTTTAGTGGTTCTGTTGATGAGAAGCATATTGATAGGTTTCAAATGTTTCCAAGTCACTTTTAATTGCTGTGATAATGTATTCATGTTGTTTTCTTTCAAGCATATAGGTGCCTTGCGTTGCTGTAGTGGAGAATTTGCACCACTTCGATGCTGGTGGATACCGATATTACCCTTTTGGCAGAGGATCCGGTTCTCAGGCATGTATACTTATCATCATCCACTTCTTTGCTTCCCAGTTGAAGGTTCAAGACTTTATTACGAAACTGCTGGTTCGTGTCGAATTTCACAGATTGTTGAGAAACTTGGGATCCCTCATCTGTTTGATCTTCCCATCAGGCCAACTGTAAGTCCATTGACTAATCCGTTCCGTAATTATTTCAATTCAAATACTCTTCGCTACATTTTGAGAATGTCTTAAGATATTCGATACCTGCCACAAATGCATAAAGTAACATGAAGTCGCTGATTCATGGTTCATTAGCTATCTGCCCATGGGGATAATGGGATGCCTGAAGTGGTTGCTGATCCTCTAGGCGAAGTTGCAAAGACGTTCCAGGACCTCGGAGTTTGTCTTGTGCAACAATGTGCTAAAATACGTCAACGGGGTATAACATATTTGGCTTCTTGTACCGGTTGGCAGCCTTCAAATGTACTCGGTCATAACATAATTGCTTGACCTGTACTCTCTCCACTGTAGTTTCAACTGCGGTCACTTATGATACATCGATGAAGGCGATCAAAGTGAAGCTGCCAAATTCAGAAGAAGAGTTCCTCCTCCATCCTGCAACAGTAAGGCGAAACGATCGTTCTGCACAAAGCGTGGTACGTGCTGATGATCTCCTCTCGAAGAGTTGCCAGAAATGTCCTGCTAAAATTTGTTTCCATCTTAGTATTTAAGCCATCTGATGGCTGCTCTCTTCCCCTTTTGTTCAAACTTCAAATACAGGACGAATGGACAGGGGAGCAGAAGCTGTTGTACTCTGATGTCCCGGAAGATATTGAACCTGTAGACATTCGGCCACTGGGAAACTACGCAGTCGAAATAACATGGCCAGACGGATTCAACCAGGTAATTTTAACCTCTTTTCCCGTACATTGTCTACCATTGAATATTGATACCACTTCTTGGTAAGCTACCAACCATTCACTAGCATGCGAATTATAGCTTTCTATTCCTTCACCAACTACCACGGTGTTGAATAGTCCACATACACGTCTCATTCACGATCCAAAAAGAGCCCAAAAAAAGTCTACCCAATGAATTGAATTGAATTACATTACTTACTCTCTCCTCTCTGTGGGCTTACACCCAACAAGAATCTTTACCTCCCTTTTCCCTTTGTTCATAATGTTGACCAGATTGCTCCTTACGATCAATTGCAAGAGATGGAGAGGCTGGTCGGCGATACCTTCCCCTTTTAAGCAGCTAACCATCCACCCTCTTCATTTTGATCACCACTCTTGCCTGCGCACAAGCTTTGTCAAAAGTACAGCATGATGAAGGTTTACTGTTAGCATAGGCCAGTGAGTCTACCACTGAATAGAGAGGGAGTGCCAAATCTTCTCCTGATAGTAATTGACGTCGATGTCATGATAGTCTCAATCTGTCTTCTTCGCATACGGGTCGGGTCACGTTTGTTTGTTGGGTTGTACAGTGGGGAAATTCTACGTACATTTTGGTCAAAGAAAGCTGACGATGAACAGTACGCGCAAAAATCTGATTACCGAGCAGAGACTTCTGTATAGTGACATTTCGTTTATCGAGCAGTCTTTCTCTATGATTTTGGTTTTTGTGGAATCGTCGGCAGTCATTTCAGGTTCTGTAGTGTGGGGGAGTCTGAACACAGTAGCAGGCCAGCAGCATGCACTGCGCAGCCGCTGCTGTTGACAATTTGTATTAGACATGTGACCAAATTAGACAGATGATGGCACGACTTCCAACTTGTTAGCTGGATCTCAAATCCCAAACCGGAAAATTCCGTCCATTTTTAGGACGCTAGTTTTCTCATGGCAATCTGCTTCTTGTCTCATCCCAACTGGTATGGGAAAGCGGATTCGGTTCAAATAGTACACGATTTGTTTGGCACGAGTTAACTCAAAATTTCCTTTTATATTTGAAAAGAATCTGGCTATTATGCTGACGCGACGCAATCAGCACATGCCAACGTTGTTGTTGAATTTGCCCTCCGTCAGATTCCCGACCATTGGATTGAACATAGTGAATTTTTCTTTTTCAAATTAATGTCATGAAATCAATCCGAC